GGGTCTGGGCTGGGGATTCAAACCCGCCACCTTAGGTGTACGTGGCTGGCGCCTTAGCCAGTTGAGCTATAGGCGCCGAGCCTATTCCTTAATATTTCATTGCAGCAATAGTCTGATTCCTTTTCTGAATATATTTATCTTCATTTGTTCCTTATGAGGTTTTTGTTCTCAGTCCTTACGTTAAATATTGTTATTGTCATTAAATTTAGCCTTTTTAATTCTGTGAAGGCAAACGTGGAAACCTAATAAACACATGTGTAAGTAAGAAAAATAAACAAGAAAAGAAAAGAAAAGAAAACTAGAACTACTATATGAGCTATTCTCCTTTTGGGTACATACCCAAAGGAAATAAAATCAGTACCCCATAAAGATTACCTGCACTTCTATTTTCACTGCAGTATGATTTCAAAACAGCCAAGATGTGGAAACAACCTAAGTGTCCATCAGCGGGCAAATGAATAGAGAAACTGCAATGTATTTGTATATCCAATGGAGTGTTAGTCAGCCCTAAAGAAGAATGAGATCTCGCCATGGACACCCATGCATGAGCCTGGAGGACATTATGTTAAGTCAAATAAGCCAGACACAGAAAAGAGAAAAAGAATCATAAAAAAATCAAATATATACAGAGACAGAAAACAAACCAGCGCCCAGCAGGGTGGTGGGAATGGATATGGGGAGACACAGATTTGAGTCAGAGGATGCGAAACAGCAAGTATGTAGGATAAACAAGATCTCAGGTTCACCGTAAGGGTTCTAGCTAATAAAACTATACTGTGTTAGGTGCAGACTTCAAGGAGTACATTTTTAGCTACTCCTGTTATAAAAACAGATAGTAAAAAGGTTATTAGAGTGAAGCTAATTGATATGTCCATACCATATCCACACATCCGTGTATCCATTAGCTTCACTCTAGAAACTTTTAACTATCTATATATATCCTACACCATGTTGTATACTTCAAATTTAAAAAATGAAACTTATGGCTCGGCGCCTATAGC